ATATATTTTTTAGAAATAATATAATTTTTTGATTATGAAATTTGTATATTTGTTACTATTAAAATCCAAAAATCATTAAAAAGTTTAATTTACTGTTTCACAAATTTTTTTGTATATTTTTAATTTTTTTTTTTCATTTCCCATGTAAAAGTAATGTAATTTATTAATCGTTAATTGTAAATTTATTACAGTATAATCTAGAAAACATTGAAGTAAGCGATTGTTTGTTTACCTCTTAATAGTTTCATTAAGAGACATTCTCTGAATCGTTAAAAGATGAATCTTGTTTGATAATTTTTTTTGTCTCTTAATGGTTCTAAAACCCTCTGAAAGATTTTGTATCGTATGTCTCCCCTAACCATTCAACACTCTGATTCCATTGTAAACAATTGCCAAGTAATTATATTTTATTTTGCATTATATCACGATAGTCTCTTAATCATTTTGCATTAAACCATTCAGCAAATGTCAAACAACCTCTAAATTATTCTAGTGCATCTTCAAAATTCTTCAAAATAGAGAAATAAAGATTTTAAGAATTTTAGTTTTTTTTGCAAATATTTTTTAAAACTTTCTTAAAAATGAAAAAAAAAAAAAAGAATTCAGAAATTTAGACTATCTTTTGTTGTAACAAAAACAAAAAATTTGGAATACTCTTTTAAATTAATTGTTTAAGACTTAAAGTATCTCTAACAGATTCTTTAAAATAGAGAAAATAAGATTTTTATTCTTTATTTTGTTTAAACAGAATATATATATATATATATATATATATATATATTGTTATCTAAGAGTATCCCCAACAGATTCTATATATGTTTTCAAAAACAGAGAACCTAAAATTATAATCTCTAAATAGAATTAAATTTAACTCCGACAGATATTCTAATTTATCAATAGACAACAAAATTATCATTTTCTCTATTTTAAAGAATTTGTTGGATATGCTCTAAAATAAAGAAAAATATAAAAAACTTCAAGTTTAGATGATTCTCTAAAATTTAAAGAATCTAATGGATATGCTCTAAATTGTTTTTTTGTTCATTCCAACCGATAATATTAAATTATTATCACCTTATATAATTTATTTTTTAAAAAGTATATTATTATGATAACTTTATAGAATATTTTAATAATATAATTGATGTTGAAATCTCTAAAGGGCAAATTGTATGAAAAAACTGACGTATTTTAACTTGATTCTTATTTTGAGTAACGTATTTTCAAAACTTTTATTTTGGTATATAAGATGTAAAGTTCTAAACATTTAAATACTCGGGTAACTGGTTGAAGCATTAACCGGTTACCACGCTAATATGGCGAGTTATGGGATGGAATTGGGTTGAATAGCAAATAATATTGAGTTAGATATTACATCACTCGCCACATTAGCAATAGCATGGTAACTGGTTAATGTTTTAACCGGTTACCTAAGTACTTAAATGTTTAAAACTTTACATCTTAGGTACCAAAATGAAAGTTTTTGAAATACGTTACCCAAAATAAGAATCAAGTTAAAGTACGTCACTTTTTTCATGTAATTTGTCAATCTGTAAAATAGAAAATCTGTTGGAGTTAAATGTAAATTTTTTTATTATTTAAAAATTAAACTTTTAGTTCTCTATTTTAAAAAATTATAAAGAATATTTTGGAGATGCTCTAAGAGAGAGAAATGTTTTTTTCCTTCACGGAATAACTGCAATATATTATTATTTTATATAATTATTATTTTTTATTGGGAAGATAAATTTATAGATTATTTTATTAATATAATCAACGTTGAATATCTAAAAATAGATAATTTGTTAAAGTTGAATGTCAAAAACTTTATAGATTTTAACTTTTTGTTTTTTATGTTATAAAAATTATAAAAAAAAATTATGTTGGAGATTTTTAAGAGCATCTACAACAGATATTGTATTTTAAGACAGAGATTTTGCTGATTATTTAATCAATTTAACGCAACTTCCAAATTGTTTTTTTTTTAATACAATAAAATTCTAATTTATTCTATAAGCTATCTGGTAGCTGATATACTAGCTGATGAACAAATCATGTTTAGCAAAAACTAGCCGATAAGAATGTAATGTAATAAAAAAATGCATCTTAAAAAATTAAAACAATTATAATATTTTAAAATATAAATAAAATTAATAATATAATATATTAAC